GTTCAGCAGCATTGGGGAATGCATCCCACACATGACTTACTCAAGAATGTTAAATATATTTTGGAAAGATTTATTCATATATTCCAAAATTTACAGGTATGTAATTTGAAGAATGTATAATATTAGAGTAACCCGAAAATGTGTTACTGGGACTGAGTTTTGGCTTTTTTCTTCTGTTTCACAAAATTTTTCCCTTACGCTTTCTTATTCATGCTCATAGTTTCATCTAACGTGTATTTATGAGTTATATCTATTCAGAATCCCTCCTGAGCTCCAAAAATAATTCAACTGCCTACTGGACTTGAGTACCTAATACCAGTAGTAATCAAACACACTGTGTAAAAAACTAAATTCCCTTGTCTCCTCTTTCCTCTTCCTTTCTGCCAAAAGTGTTTTCTGCTTCCTTTATTGGTTAACAGTATTATTAAATCTCAGGATCATCCTTTAATCTTCACCTTTACTTTCACATCCCAAGTTCTTTGCTACTTTTTTTACCTTCTCTTCTCCAGTACTTTTCTGTTACTAATTTCTCACAATTATTGATCCTTGGTACTACAGCCAGAGATACCCTCCTGAAATGCATTCAAATCATGTCTTTGATTTCCTCAGAAACCTGAATTAACATTGCCTGAAGAGTAAAGTCCAAACTAACTTGCATAAAATTTATGTCTTCCATGATACATTTTTCATGTATCATATGCATATCTTTCTACCAACTCTATCCCCCAAACATACTACTTTCCAGCCAGGAGTGGTATAGAGGTGGCTGTGTATTTTTACACCACATGCCTTTGTTTATTAGGCTACTTCAGTTTATAAGGCCTGACACCAAATCTCTACTTATTGAAATTCTATTCATACCCTAAATTTCAGTCAAATGCCACTTCTTCAGTGAAGACATTCCCAGGGGCACTTGTTGGAATGAATTACTTCTTCCTCTGTAGGCCACCATTATATTACCTTTACCCCTAGTGTTCATTTCACCCTGCCTTGTGTTCTAGTTAGTAGTTAACGTGTTAATCTCTCTCACGTGGTTGAAAATTCTTTGAAAACAGGAAACATGGCTTCAGTGTTTTGTACAGACTAGAACCTTTCTTTTGTAGAATTATATTGAATAATAAGATAGAATTTGAAAGCTGTGAGGTTACACAGCAGAGTTTCTTCCCCAACTCTGCCTTCTTAGGCACACATCATTTTATAAACTGAGTTTCCCATCTAGGTACTAGGGCACTGTGCTATAGGAAATAAAAATGTAAAATTCCATGTGACATGATCAAATAAGAATGAAGTTGGAATACAGATTGTTAAAGCATAATTTTCTAACTCTTAAAATTTCCTTTCAGAGAGACACATCTCAATTCAAAGGCAGCTTGCTGATCTAGAGAAGTTAGCTTTCGTAACTGAAGGGGATTTTGACTCTGCCAGTTCACTGAACTCAGATAATCTTGATGCAGGTATTTCCATGATTTGAAAATGTGTTTTTTCTCAGTTTCTAATGATTTGTCATCTTTCAACACATGAAAAATTTTCTAAGCATAGACTTGTTTATTTTCACTGAACTAGAGCAGAAGTAAAATAATGGTTTTTTACTTAGGAAATTATAGCCTTCTATATGCAAAGGTGCTATGAGATAAGTTATTTCACAACTTCTCAAGGAAATTACAGTCTCATGGATATATAAGGGCTTTGTATGCTAAAAGTTAGGAATTACATTTTACTATGAGTAACAGAAATCCAAAAAGTAGTATCGAGGCTTATGTTCTCTCATGTAAAAGAAGTCCCAAGGCTGGCAGTTTAGGGCTGGTACAGAGTTTCACAATGTGATCAGTGCCCCAAGCTCTTCTCTTTCTACTTTGCTATCCTTAGTGCTTGGATTCCATCCTCAAGATCTCCTCACAGTTTTTTGAAGTAGGCAGAGTGTATATATATATATATATATATATATATATAAATAAAGGAAATAAAATTGTGCTTATACTTGCCATGTGCTATGTGTGAAAGATATTTGTTGGATTAAAAATTGAGTTATTATTTCTGTATATTGCTTTAAACCTGGATTTGAGATTTTAATTCTCTTGTATACTATCAAAGTTTTTATTAAGATACATTGCATTTCTAATTAAATAAAACTTACTTAATACATAATCTTTCCAAGAATATGTTAATAAAGAAGGAAGAACTTGCAAATTTAGTAATAGGATACAGTGGTTGTAACCATGACCCCAGTCTCAGAATAGCAATTATATAGGATCCAAGGTACTCCTTCTACTTCCTTCTTCCATTTTTCTAACTCTGCACATTAACTGTTTTTGTTGCTGCTAGAGTAGAAGAGTATCAGAGCAGATACTTATGCTCTCTGCCCAGCTTCTAGCCCTCTGGGAGTGTGACAACTGCTGCCTTTTCTCCTGCCCAAAGTACAGAATGACATTCTCTCTGGCAGGCACTTTGGCTGGAGGGATATCATGTAGTTTATCACTTCCTCATCCTCTGTGTTCTCAGTGGCAACAAGGATATCTGCGAGCCACAGAGAGGAGAGTTTTAGGTAAAAAAATAAGTCACTGACCATGTGCTAAAACAACTATTGTTAAGTACCTGCTGAGGCAGGAATGACTTCTCCCTAATGTTAAGAAAGATATTATCTAAGGTGTGTGAGTGTGTGTTTTGGGGGTAAAGGGCAGAGGCAAGAGAGGTTCCCCGTTACTTCTTTTGTAGCTAAATTTAAGCATTAATAGCTAGTATATTCTCTGCTTTATTAGTTCCTTTTCCTTTAACAGGAAACAAACAGGCTTGTCCATTGTGCCCCAAGGAAAAATTCAGAGCTTGTAATAGTCATAAGCTTCATCGTCACCTTCAAAATTTACACTGGAAAGTCTCAGTTGAATTTGAAGGTTAGTATTTTTGTGCTTGCTAAAAGTGATGTAAACGAAATTAAAGATTTGGTACCAGTTTTGGAATTTTAATGAAAACATAATCAAATATTTTCAGTTTAAAATTATGAAGGATTAATGCCCCTCTTTTAATGTATTTATTAATAAAAGACCATATAGCTCTCTAGGCAATAGATAGATGTGACACCAGTAGTTTAGTGTGGCAAACATTTATTAAGCATCTCTTCTGTATGGGGTACCTGCTTGGTGCTGAAGGTCCACATTACTTATTGAACCATGTTTTAATAAGTTATACTTTTCCTTTTATATTAGAACAACTACAATTTTACACATATTTTTGAATATATAATAAATGTAGTAAAACAAAATAAAATAATTGGTATGAACATTGGAAAAAAGAAGAAATATCTTTTTCTCTCTGCTGATGGCTTAAAAAAGCCAGTTGATGAGAGTATTTGGAACAGTGGTGAGACACAAGATTGATCAGAGTCTCTCTACTCTAGATAAGTGGAAATTAGAAAAAAACAATTATAATAGTGACAAAAATGACACAATTTGAGGGAGTAAGTTTAACGAGAAGACTCATAAAGAAATGAATAAAGTTGAAGAACAAAAAACAACATCTTACCAAGTTAAAATACTTCTTAGAGACAGTGAATTATTAGATTCTGAGTTAGTGAATTATATATTACAGCATTTTTGGAAAGAGACCTGGCAACATTTAAAAAATTTAAAATATTCATCCACCAGGCACTCTT